CACCATCTTTCTCTTCTTCCTGCGCACTAAAACCACCAAAGTCCTCTTCTCCAGTGTCGGAAACGAACAGGCTCAGGATGGCTTCGTCATCCACTCTCAGCTTCTCTCCTTCGTTGTCACTTTCAAAACCAAACAAATCCTCGTTGTCAGTGTCAGAGTCGAACACCCTCTGAAGGGCCGTGGCGGTGTCCTGCTCTCCATCATGCAGCAGTCCAGCCCTTCGAAATCCGTTGGTGATCATGGATGTTTTCACACTTTTCCACGCTGTCAGATTCCACCGGTGGAGTTGAGCATAACTTGCTTTTCGCAAGTTTATCGCCGCTCATCATCCACGCCTCCCACTGAACGCGTAGCGCTACTTTGAAGTTTGTTTTTCGCAGTACTTTGTACGGCACTATGTTGCCTGGCGGATGGACATGTGACCAGCGGAACAAACAAAACAAATCGTCTTACGATATCACAAAAATCATGGACAATCCTTAGAAAAGCCGCACCTGACTAAAAGCTGCAGGGTTCAAAGCTTGTGCAAAAAGTAGCGGCTTATAGCCCGACAATTACGGTACACATCTGATTTGCTGATGTAACAGAAAACACCTCCTCTTTAACTCTTTGTAAAATGCACTTCACACACACACAGATCGAGAAAGAGCTATCACGTTCATTTCTGGGTTTGCTTATTGTGACAGTTCAGTCTGGTCCGCTCAGGTCTCAGGTGTTCCAAAAACTCCCCTCCCCTCTTTAGGCCAGCCTTTAAGGTGTCGCGGATAAATACAACAAAATAAAATGATAAGACCAAGACAAAAACTGTGGTATTAAATATAATGATAAATGCGAATTCACTGTGTGATTGTGTAACTTTATTAGCAGCGTCCTCCTGAAATGCGCCAACAAAATTGAGAGTAACATCCTCCTCTCTGCCCCTTAATGCTCTCTGGTCACTATGGTAACGCGTAAATATTTCTTTCAAAATCAGACGCACAACTACAACACGGGAAAAGACCCAGGCAGACCGAGTTGACGATAAAAACCGTGAAAACCATAAATTTCACACCTGAGCCTGAACTCTCATGGCCCAGTACCAAATGACTCACAGCCTGGGGGTCCCCAACCCCCGGGCTGTGAGTCATTTGGTCCGTGGCCCGCAGGTTGGGGACCGCTGGCTTAAAGAAACAGTTAAACAAACATTGAAACTGTACTTTAGCTGCCTTCACTAATTGTCATGACACGTTTCTGGATTCACAAAGGCCTGAGGACAGACCAATGGCAGCTCAGCCAGCTGGTTACTAAAATCACTGTAAACTTCTTGTTTGCCACTCACATCCATCTAAACGAACTAATATTTACTTAGCGTCCGAGGAGAACACACTAAAATAAACAAATACCCACTATTACAATTTGTTGTATTTGTGGCTTTGTTAGTTTCAATGTTGTGTCCTAAATATAGGCCAAATGTGAAGTATTAACACAATATATCTATACAGTTTTACTGAAGAATGTGGCTGAGTAAGAAATGACAGCCTCAAAAGCTTTAAAACTATAGTGACAAAGCAAATCATATTAAATTGAATCAAATTAATATTTTTACAGCCATTTACAAAAAAACAGTTTTGATCTTGACAGCTTATCTCTGCTCGAATAGCAGCCGTGCAGGGAAATAATGGTACCCACCATGAAGCTAAAGTTTAAACTTCAAAGTGTTCAGAAAAACGTAACCATGTGACCTACGTGGTATCATCAGTGTGCTGCTGGCTTTCTGTTGAACAAGCAGGTCCATCACTGTACGGTTATTGCAATATTCGAATTTCAAATTTGTGTACTTGCCTACTGACAAAGTGATATTGGTGGCGTTGGTGTTTTTAATGGAGGAACAAAACAAAACAAAAAAGTTAAGCCTTTAAAAGGTGATGTCCCTGTGGGTACAGCCAACCTTTATATACAGTCTATTACTGATAACACCAGTTCTTTTTCATTTAATTAAATAATATTTCAACAGCACTTCTACTTGAGTGCACACTTTCACTGGTCTTTCCACCTCTTCACACCAGAGGTTATCATCTCAGCATTTCCTCACCCTTGTGTAGGAGATTGTTGCGTTTCGATGCTGCGTGTGGAACTGCAGAGTGATGAAAGCGACCTCTGAAGGGATCGTGGACACCACCGCCTGCACAGTCTCATTCTGGGAGATGCTCACGTTCTGGAACCTCCCCGGCAGGAAAATCACCCGGTCTGAGCAAGAAAGGGGAAAGTGTGATTTATAATGATAATAATAATGATGCATTTATATAGCGCTTTTCGGGACCCCTCAAAGTGCTTTACAATTCCACTATTCATTCACTCTCACATTCACACACTGGTGGAGGCAGCTACAGTTGTAGC